TGAGCAGAGAAGGGTGGGAATTTTTATCGATGAATGTACCCAGACAGTTTAAGGACTTGTCTACTCACTGTTCTGTGTGCTTTCCGTCTACTTAAACGCTGAGACTTTTCTAAAGATTGGTTAGTGGAAGATTTGGACTTGAACACGTCATGACTTTATTGGGCCACTGCATTCCCACATTTTCCTTTCACAGCCTCCAATTTCTGACAAATCTTTAAATGATAAAGCGGCTCACTAAAATAAAAGGAAAAAAAAAAGCCTATAATGTCGATTAATATACCAAATTGAGTAACTGTACCAAGTTGTATTTATAGAGCTTATCAACTCAGACAAGCATCCCTGAACAAACCGAATAAGACTCCTTTAGGTTGGTACCATGCCTAGTAATAGGTTGTAGGAATACTTCTTGCAATTAATTGAGCCTTTAGTCAACATGACAATAAGTCCTTTAGGTTGGTATCGTGCCTAGTAAGGAGTTGGAGAAATACTTCTTGCAATTAATTTAGCCTCTAGTCAACATGAAAATAAGTTCCATGACTAAATTTCAACAATTTAACTCCACAGGAAACAAGAAAATTTCTCTCAAATTTATCACAAAAAAAAAAAAAAAAGGAAAGAAAATTTCTAGGTCCGTTCATATAGCTACAGCCTACAGGACTTTTCCTTTATATACAATGCAAGTTAAAGGCTTGTTTGCCCCAGCTCCCATTTAGAGTGAAATTGATTTACTCTTTTTTCAGCCAAATGGAATTTTCAAGACTCTTTTTGCTCTTACTATCCTCCGCTTTTCACATAAATCTCTCTTCCTCCGAAGTTGCTATTGATTTTCGGAAGAATTGTAATATCAGCGACGGCAACTTCACTGCTAACAGTCCCTACGCGGCCAACCTCAATCGTCTCTTCTCCCAACTCTCCTCCGACCAGGATTTCAACTATGGGTTCTATAATATATCCGTTGGCCAAAGCCCTGACCAGGTCAATGCAATTGCACTCTGCAGGGGAGACCAAAAGGAGAAGGCCTGCTGAAGTTGCCTGAATGAGATCATCTCCTTGCTCCAAGAAGTCTGTCCCAGAAACAAAGAAGCAATCGCGTGGTCAGGATTTTGCACCGTACGGTACTCCACACGAAAAATTATCGGAGTTATGGAAGTCGATCCTTTTGATCAACTTTATAGATTTTATAGCCAAAGTGTACCGCATGATGTTAATGATTTCGACAGGGCCTTGAGTTTCTTGTTGAAAAATTTAAGCGTCGGTGCGGCTACCGGAGATTCTCTTTTCAAGTATGCAGCGGGTT